TCATCCCTCCTCATCGTCGTCCTCCTGTTCCACAATGTCCGCCCCCTCGTCCGCCCTCTCCCCTCCCCCTAATTAAGCTACCGAAGCACCCCACATAATATAATATGTCTGGCGTGACGATAGCTGACGTGCAACTTGCGAGAATGATGCTGGTGGCCGTTGCTTCGCCGATACCGTTGGTGGCGCTGGTCAAGCCTTGGGAGACTGACGCGCCGTGCAAACAACAGCCTGAGCCATGGCGACAACGGAAGAGACCGGGGCGGTAGGTAGGCAGGCGGACGGCGCACGAGTCTCGACGCGGTGGACAGGTGGACGTCGCACGTGGCGGTGAGGGACCACCCCTGCGCATCACCCATGGTGTCCAGAAAGTGCCACGGTTGCTGTGAATGGACGACTGGGACGTATTGACACCACGGTGAAGGACCACCCCCTGCGCACCCTCTCTGGTGTCCAGAAAGTGCCACGCCTGCCACGCTCTCCGACTCTGGCACGCATAGGGGCCGCGCCGAGAGACCACCCCCTGCGCACCCCAATCAGGTGTCAAGAAAGTGCCACGCCTGCCACGCTCTCAGGCCCTGGCACGCATAGGGGCCGCGGTGGGAAAACACCCCCTGCGCACCCCCTCTGGTGTCCAGAACGTGCCACGCCTGCCACGCTCTCAGACCCTGGCACGCACAGAGGCCGCGCTGAGAGACCACCCCCTGCGCACCCCAATGAGGTGTCGAGAAACTGCCACGCCTGCCACGCAACGCCCCACATCCAGCGCACCCCTTCTGGTGTCCAGAAAGTGCCACGCCTGCCACGCTGTGCGAGCGTAAGACGGATAGCGCCCCCACCTCCAGCGCACCCCCTGTGGTATTGAGAAACTGCCACGCCTGCCACGCTTTGCGAGCGTACGACGGATACCGTCCCCACCTCTGGTGCCCCCACTGTGTCGTCGAGAATCTGCCACGCCTGCCATGCTGTGCGAGCTTACGGCGGATAGCGACCCCACCTCCAGCGCACCCCCTGTGGTATCGAGAAACTGCCACGCCTGCCACGCTGTGCGAGCGTACGACGGATAGCGCCCCCACCTCCAGCGCACCCCCTGTTTTGTCGAGAATCTGCCACGCCTGCCACGCTTTGCGAGCGTACGACGGATAGCGACCCCACCTCCAGCGCACCCCTTGTGGTGTCGAGAAGCTGCCACGCCTGCCACGCTGTGCGAGCGTACGGCGGAAAGCGCATCCACCTCCAGCGCCTTGTGGTGTCAAGATGCACTGGCGTTGCATGGTGTGTATGCGAGTGTGTGCATGCGAGGGGCTGGATGTACACGCGTGTCTGATGTACATGCCGTGCATGTGTTGCGCGTGGGTGAGGGAGGAAGGAGGAGGGGAGGTGAGTGAGACGCGGGTGCGAGGCGGCAAGGAAGAAAACTATAACCCCACGAAACATGTGGGGAACGACTCTCCTCCAACTCAATCCTCCCCCCTCGTTCCCCCGTCTCATCCTTCTCCGCATACTCCTCCCTTTTGCATCCTCCTCCTCCGCGTTCTCCGCCTCCTCCTCTTCCTCCTCCTCCTCCTCCTCCGTGCCCTCCTCCGCTTCCTCCTCCTCCTCCTCCCTCCCTCCCTCCCTTGCTCCCTCCCTCCGCCTCCGCTCCTCTCCCTTCTCCTCGTCCACCCTCGCCCTCCTCCTCCCCCCCCCTTTCTCTCGTCGTCCTCATCCTCGTCCTCCCTGCCCCTAACCCACCCCCAAACATCAAGAAGACATAGTGGCACTCCCACGAGACTCCGATAGTATGACTCAGGATGCCTGCCACTACCACTACGACTACAAACCACTGCCGCTGCCTGAACACATGCCAGTCTACCTGAAGGTTTCACCACCCTGCTCTAGCCGGCAGGACTGAGAATCCCACCAGCCCTTTAGGGCGTAGGTGGTCTAGGGAGTTTCCTCTGCCAACCCCCCTTCTTCCCCTTCGGGGAGGGGTTTACCCCTCCCCTTACCCCTCCCCACTGACCTGGACGAGGCGTCTCGCGAGGTGTCAGGGCGCCCAAGATGGCTCAAGACGGCTCCAAGAGCGAAAAAGCGAGAAAGCACAAAACATTGATTCTACCTAGGTTTTGGAAGGATTTTGGCCTCTTGGGGGGGCCCAAGAGGCGCTTCGAGGCACTCTAGAGGGGCAACCCTAATTGGAGCCCCTTTCCCCCCTTCTTTGATAGATCTCCTCCAAGATGGCCCCAAGAGCGCCCCGAAGGCTCCCAAGAGCGCCCCAAGAGCGCCCCAAGAGGGCCCCAAGAGACCCCAAGAGGCCCCCAAGAAGCCTCTAAGAGGCTGCCAAGAGACCCCCAAGAGGCCCCAAGAGAGTTCAAGATGGCCCAAGACGGCTCCAAGAGCGAAAAGGCGAGAAAGCAACAAACAATGATTTTACCTAGGTTTTGGAAAGATTTTGGCCTCTTGGGGGGCCCAAGAGGCGACTCGAGGCACTCTAGAGGGGCAACGCTAATTGGGGACCCCC